CACAGAGAAATAATTGCACAGTGGTCAAATTCAAACTTCCAGCTCCTTGCAAACTGGGGCTCTCGACGACTACATTGTCCAGACGCCTGGGCTACGGTGCATTACGTGCAATTAAATTTAAATTCAATGTAATGTTCATTTAGAGCTCATTGCGCCTGTTTATTCCTATAATTTGTTGTTACGTGGCATTTGATACCAAGACCGGGCAGATACATATCTTATAACTCAATGAGTGATAAATACAAAATATACTTCTGCCTTTCCATGGAGTTTTATTTTACCGCAGTTGCAGAGCGAAGGCCTGAAGGCCAAAGATGCCAAGTGGTCAGCAACAAACAGCACTATTGAAGGTGTAATTGAAAAGAGGTAATGTGTCTCTTGAACTGAGCGAGTTTATAAGAAACTTTTGCAAAAAGAGACAATGAGAGGGCATTCCGAAGTGGAGCAGTGTGAGAGGAAAAAGAAAGAGAAACGCTATTGTCCTGGAGTGCAGTGAGTGGGTGAGAGTGAGTGAGTGAGACTGAGGGAGAGTGAGTGGGTGAGAATGAGTGAGTGGGTTGAGTGGGTTTTACCAGGCTGGATTGTTTGAAGAGCTCACAAAATCCTTGAAAAATCTAGACACATTCCTATCATTGAGCTCCTCCGGCAGACAAGACTGCGTTGGCTGGGTCATGTAGCCCACTTGCCCAGCCACCACATGCCCAGCATCTTCTGTTTGGCCTCATAGAGGGGGCTAAACGGGCACGACATGGGCTGGAGAAGAGATGGACTGATGTGGTACCGGAGGATGTGGAGCTGAGCGGACTTGCCGACGACTGGTACCAGCGGTGTCAAAATCGGCCTCTACGGAGGAGGCTCATGAAGGATGCTACTGGGCAGTTGGAGGCAGTCGCCCTCCAGCAACAACGGAGGGCAAGAGGAGCGACGTTCACAACAACGAGCGGAGCGCCGGGCGGATAAAATTCAGCAAGTTGGCACAGTAGGGGGTACAGCTGGTGCATCTACCAATCATCTCAGTCAGCCGACCTATGGCACCTGGGTCTGTCCCGAGACCTCCTGTCAGCCAACCTTTCGACACTTCGCGATGCCTTAAAGTGCACCTAGCCTGGCACAGGTGCCGTTGTGACGTCACCGCGAATGGTGGGTATTGGTATTGGGTGAGTGAATGTGTTGTTGTCACCTGGTGGTGGTGGAACACATTCTGGCTGGAGGAATCAATGCGTAAATTTTGCAGAGACAGTAACCATGGTTGTAGCGATAGAGGATTGGTTTTACGTCAAACCACAGGCTCTTTATTACTGTGTTTTCTACTTAGTGCCTTTTTTAATGTTGTAGATATGTGTTTTGATAGGTCACAGTTAAAAGCTTATATGGGTGCTGCATGGCACAGCTCTTCACAGTATTTTATAATGGCAGTGATTAGACAAGGATAGAGGGAAGAAACTAAACATATTTATTGCTCAAAGATTATACTAAATATTGTAACGGGCATATTGAATCAAAGCACGGACATTCAACGTATATAATAAATGCACGCTTATACTTACTAATGATGTATATGTGGCATTTGCATATTTAGCGTTTAACACATATATAATAGCAATACGATGTGTAATGTATAATTTTCAGCTCTTTGTCAATCCACTGCAGGGTGAAGACGTCCGTTAAATATATCATTCGTGTCAGGACTATGTGACAATTGTCAGTTTGACCATACTTCACCACGCCGGTCGGTGTGAGTTGGTGAAGGGGTGGTGGTGGGGGGAGTTGTGGAGTGGGGAATCTAAATGAGGTCACCGGGGGAATCAAACTCAGGTGGCCAGGTTCACTTCATAACAGCCTCGCGGACTATCCAGACTGTCAGTATGGAAGGTCCTGAATTGGGAATGTTTGGCCGATACCATTCACGAGTGCATTCCATGCCACGTGTACGGTTCGCGTCGATGAAATATGTACCGATGTGTATAATAAATCATATCGCAGTGCACGGTAATATGATGTATGCTTCGCGCGTACGTATACATATACACACACTTCACGATTATACACTTAGCTGTCTTGAGAGTAAGAGAGCACTATGTAACACAATAGCCTATGCACACGTATTCATTTTGAACACATTAACTCCAAACATCAATGCACTTATCGCTGACACCATTCGCGCACAATAGTGGAAAACTACTCGAGCATTAGACTTGGTGTTACGTCTCTTTTGGTACAACGAGTACAAGCACAGTCAGCACATGCTATCAAACAAAAAAAAATCCACATTGCGGAGGAGCGGTGGCGCAGCGGTTAGCGCACGCTGCGCTGTGAACCCGGTTGCACACGAGTTTGATTCCCCGGCTGTGGTGAAGGTCATCTGGACAGGTCTGAGGGACACGCCACCCCACCAACGCGGCACAGACCAGCGTGGTGAAGTATGGTTTAAACAACCACCTTTACCGACACGGCATAGGAGTAGGCTTTCAACTTAAAGCAGAGGATTGATTTGAGTGCGTTTCAATACAAAAAAAAACGTTGTGGCAGCGCCTGGCGTGTATAAAAAGAATATGGCATGCTTGTACTGCGTTTGAAACTAAAGCCAGAACATAAAAACACGTTATGTGTGAGGCACATTGACTTCTGCTGTATGACATACAGAATGCATGCAACATAACATGTATACAGCAGCCTCCCTTCGTTTCTCAGTAAAAAAAAAGTGCTAATTCCTGTACCTGTAGCAAACCGGTAACCGTTTCTACCATGCGGTTACCGGTTTTGCTATTTTTTTGTGCACCGATTTTAACAACCCTGGTTTGTACTCACGTGCATTAATGCATATGTGCGTGTATATTAAAACGCATACGCTCACGAAACAATTTAATTGCAACGTAGATTTCATTCATGAGTGAAACATAGGCAAAATGCAGTCACATGCGATGCTATTGCATTGCACTATATCGCATAGCATCACAAACAACTGGATGTCCGGTGCGGGCAAGACCCTATCACATTTGCGTCTAAGCACACATTATATCGCGACACTGCGTTCGTTCGCAGTGACGCACGAGCGCAAATAACAACAACAAACTCGACACATCCGTCAACAACAACAACAACAACTGTGACGTCAAAAAGGGAAGAACACATATAATGGGCGACGTTTCAGTCAACGACCCTTCTTTATACGTGCTATCATTGGGCCACCACCTGCTATAAATTTATCTCATTTTAACAAACAAAAAAAGGTCGAGTTATTGAACGAGGTGCGTTCACCTTTTTGTTTGGTGGTGGTGGTAGTGGTTGGGGAGGGGTTATTTAATTGTGCGTGACTCTAGGCCGTCACCGCTGGGCGTGAGATTGGCGTAGTAGCGGGGCGCGCCCAGCAGGGGGCTAAGTGGCGGCGCTCCGCTCACGTGAGCGCAGTCGGTCGCTGAAGTTCTAACGCCCGATGCGTGACCGTTACAAGTGGGAATGTGGGTGGACGAGTGGGAAGGGGGGGGGGGGGGCGAGATACCACAGTCTGAATGCATGCATGCTCAGCACATTAAAAATAAGAATAGGTTTCACTCTTCCTGGTAATGAAACAGGTGTTAAGATGTTCAAACACAGCGTGGTGTCCGGACTAGTACGTGTGCTTAATGCAAACCACAGTACTAGTACGTGTGGTAAGTGCAGACCACAGTGCTGGTACGTGGCGTTTGAAGATATTTTATTGCCAGAAAGGGTAAAACCTATACTTTGATACTGGCAAAAAGGTCCCGTGATATGCGCAACACAGTTTCATTATGCCTTGCTGGTGAGACCCAGAATGTCGAAACCGGTCCATAGTTTCCCCGCTTAAGAAAAATGCTGCTGGATGATATTGGTCTGAAAGGACAATAGGCCGATGGAGTGATATAATCACGGAAGGGGCTTTTGACTGTTCTTCTAAACAAAGACGGTCACTTGCATCCATCGCATGCTTTCAGATGCGCCTCTGCGGCCGTCTGGAATGCTCCTTTCTCCCGATATTAGGAAGACATGCACTTTGAAATCTTGATGAAAACTAATTTCTTTAGAACTGTTAGTTTGTTGTCCTTCCCCCGCACCTCCCATTAGCACCGTTGGCTACGCACGTTGTGAAAGAAGTTCAACATACACACGAATTGTATGTGTATGTGGAGAGATATTTAACTGACCTCTGCTGATATAGTTCATGGATAGACAAGGTGATAACATACATGTATTATGGAAAGTAGGTACAAAAGAACATTAATAATTATATAAAGAGAAACATTAGGATTCTTGGACATGTAATGAGACTGAATGCAACGCTTTGACTGGGAAAATTATAGGAACAAGAAACCGGGGAAGGCAGCGAATTAAGTACAGGAGCAACTTGTGAACAATTGGATGCAACTGGGAGTACCTAATGCAAAGCTCTCGAGTAAACATCATGGACAGGGCTACATGGAAGGGAAACCACGATCGTTGACGTATTTGCGAATAAAACACGACACTTTAAGAGATAATGAATAGAGTAGTTAAATTCATGTAGCTCAAAAAGGTACACAATGCAACTTTTAATTAACTTACCATACTTGATAATCGATTACAAAATGAGACCAGTTAAACATTTTGCTTTCTTTGGGCATGCTCCAAAGAACACCACCACAGCAATAATGTTCACACAAAAATATATTCCCCCCTTTACCCTTAACAGAGCTTTGTGGCAAGTGCTGTTAGCGAGCACCTATGAAGGCCGACACCGCACATGAAGAGGGTAGGTGTCCATGTCCGACCGCCTTTGTCTCCCCAGTGGGGATGTTTTATCCATCGCACCAGGTACTAATTTGAGGTCAAGTCGACCTATGGGAGGCCCAGGACAGGTTCAGACACTTGTCACTGGTGGTGGCCATGAGCGTGAATCGAACTCGGATCGCAGAGTTCGTAGCGCAGCATGCAAACCACTATGCCACCACTCCCCAGAGTGTCCACATACACACACACACACGTGACAGTGCATCTCAACTCACCTGCGCGGTGCGGGCATCACGGGTGAAAGGGGGGCACCCCATCGTCGCGATCTTCACTGTGGTGATTGGTTGATGGATTGTAAAAGCTTAAGAATTCTTTTACTACATTTCACCCGCTTGGCTGCTATGCTATTGCACGCATGCAGCGTGCGCACAGATGTATACCTATCACAATCATGAGTTCTATCCTGTTCGGCTGCTCGGGGCTTTTGGGCAGTCCAGCGTCATGTGGCGTTGCATGTACAACGTAGCCTGTCAGTTCTGCTCAATATGTTCGGAATCTATGACCTATTAACAATATATGAACTACAATAGCAAAAGTTTGATAGACAGTATATACTCCAATAATACAACCCAGCAGAGTAATTCTACTCGAGGGGCCAGAAATAATAATTTACAGCATAGTACGCTTACAGTTCAGTTAAGCCAACAACGCATGAAACAGACGACTCCTATACTCTACATCTGTCCAGCTGTGTATAAACTTCACGGCTAGGCAAGACTATATCCGTGCAAAACAGCAGGCAGCGATTACCGTGCGGCTATGTGCTGCTCGCAAGTATGCAACCTCTCCTATAGCTCGTGGGCTGATTTTATCCACTGCCCGAGGCTCAAAACAGTGTTCACATATATTGTACTGCCATAGGCTTTTGGTTAATACCTGCACGCGTATTAGATTTAACCCGAGCACGTGAAAACTCTTCTCTAACTATTGCACAGTGGCAAGCACAATACCGTTCACGCCTTTTCCTGAAACATTAAATCATGAGCGCTTTATATTCGAATCATACGTAAAGCCACGGACTGTAAAAGCACGAGCTTGCCTTATACGATTGCAGCATATATCTACGCGCAATGCCCCACTACACTTGTGCTGTATCACAATTGAAAAATATAATTTAGGACAATTCTATTTCTCGATCGCTTAAACGGTAAAGTTGCACACGTTTCAACGGCAGATTACATGACGTTGCACACTACATTGCCACGAATATCATCCATAGCTACACAACGTGACGGCTGCAGTACAAACGCAATTAATGATCCCGCGTTAGCAATGCTGTAGCAGCACACACTGACCCACCACAATCTCGTGGGCTATTGCAGCAGCAACGGAATCAATCGACGGAGCCCCCCTTTACAAAACAGCACGCGTGCACTTAAAATACACATAAAATACAAATACCAACGTACAGAAACTACTAGCTACCTCCACCCCCCCCCCCCCCCCCCCCCAAAAAAAAAGCACCTTGTGCCCTTTTTGTAGTTATAAACACATTTATACACAGCAGCAGCAGCAGGCGAAAACAACTGTATCCTCCCTCAAGGCTTCCCTCCGCACGGCTCTTCTGAAATCTTCACACCTTCGATCTGGGATTGATGATAGACAGAGTAGTGCTGGGCTGCGGAGATGCGGGTACAATGGCAATACTTTTCCTTCGTGCTAAACATGTGCGCCCGAGACCCTCGGATGCGGGGAGAGCTTCCGCTCATGTTCTGCAGCGACTGCGCATTTTATTTATGAGCTCGGCAGAAAGAGGCAGGGCTGGGGGTGGCCGTGACTGTAGGCTGCCCACCGCAGTGACTGCTCCGACCTGGGTGGGTGGGATTTTGGGGGTGAGTGAGTGTTGACATGCGCTGAGAGAGAGACGGGGGGGGGGGTAAGGGAAGGATTAAGGCAGGGAGATTGGCTGCTCTGCCTAATGTGAGAAGAGAAAAAAACAAATCACAAATCAAATGCATTCAGTGAGTTGCCAATTATAATTGGATATTCGGCTGTAGTTTTATATGGGACCGTTAACAAAAAAGTACTGTACAATTCCGTTTAAGATGCCCAGTCTATTTTGCGCGTTTTATTTTGTTGAAACGTGAATTAAGCTCGCAATAAAGGTTTTTGGGTTAGATCGCGTCAGTATTAATGTTGTGTCGTACCTCTCCGCCACCCCACACAGCCAGTAATGTTTGTCACGTAAACAACGCTCCAATTCGTTACTCCTTCAGCCCACCGGTGTGTTGGAGAGTAAATCCACATTTACAATTTGAGTAGTACGACGTTTCGCTGGTAATTACATCAACCAGCATCATCGGGCGATTTGCCAGAATCGTGAAGCCATCCACCTGCTTTCGGTGCAGAAATTAGAGGCAGGGGAGGAGCGGGGGTTATTGTAACATTTAATTAGTATGTGTTTCCTCTGTAAGTAATTGTAATTGCAAGCTGTCTTCTTCTTCCTCTTCCTCTTCTTCTTCTTCTTCCTCTTCTTCTTCTTCTTCCTCTTCTTCTTCTTCCTCTTCTTCTTCTTCTTCGTCTTCTTCTTCCACGCGTTTGTCCCACTCAGTCGGGTCCGCTGTCCCTGCCAACCTTCTGCAGTTATTTGAGAAGCAACGGTGATGTGCACAATTAAATCAGATTATTGTTCGCTGCATTCGAAGGCATACACAATATAAATGTGTCCTGCTCGAGAATAGGATACATTTTTGATTAGGTGTACTTTGGCCTTATTCAATTTATAGCTTATCCGTACGCCTTTTAAGAACACATTTTGAATAAAGCGGACTTTTTATAGAATAAGATGCCAATTGTAAACCGAGCACGGTCACAATAAAAAAAATAAATTAACTTTGATAAGTAAACAAAAAACATGTGTCCTTTATTACTGAATGGCACGTAAAAAGCATCCATGCGATAAAATAAGATGTACAGTAAATTGTTATCCGAGCTTTAAACATGGTATCTGTGAATGCATTTTTTTTTACATTCAACTGATTTCGAATTACTTTTTTTTCTCAAAACAGCAGCATCTGTAGTTTATTCCAAAAGCTCAGTGCATATGTGGAATTTACCATGGCTGTTTGTAATGCCTGTTCAATACTTAATTTAGGTGACAGTACAGTACAATGCTCGTGCAAAAGAGCATTGTTCATGGCCTAAAACAATTGGTGTAAATTCCACATTCCTATGTTGGGAGCCAGTTTATCCATGACGCCTACTATTTATATATATAAAAAAAAATACATGCAATAAAACCGGTATCGGAAGAAAAACATCCCAGTACGTACTGCAAAATTGCCGGGATTACACAAAGCAACATCGCCTCCTGTTGCGAAACTTGACAGGAGCCTAGTGAAAACGAATCTTGAGACTGTGAGGTTTTCCTGGGTCAAAAAAAACCCCGATATAAACATAGAGCACCCAGAGACACGACCACGGCTTCATGGGGATGAAGAGGACAGGGACGTCAGGAACCTACTTGCTATACTGCCTCCTAGTGGACGTTACCAACGAAGAGAGGGGTCTTTCACACAGACGTCATTCAGCTCCGTGTGAATAGCCAACATTCAACTCCGTTGCACTCGAATCTACGACCACTGGTACCGTGCACGACACATGCTCTAATTATTTGTGATGAGTCAATGAGTGAGCCGTTGTAAAACAAACGAACACGTTGGTAAGGGCTTAAGTAAATAATGTTTAATGTAGAAGCCTGCATGCCTCGTTTCAGCTCGACCATATGTGCAGGTAAAATGTGTTTAAACCATGCAACCTTGGGATGGAATGTGACGCATTGAGTGTGCATACTAAATGTTTTCTGTGGAAGGTCAGCCAGCCGCTCCCCCCCCCCAAAAAAAAAAACCTCACGGTATATTGTATTTTCTCAGCAAGGTGAGACCCATTTCTCTTAAATTTCATATGATTTCTGATGCGGCAACACTTTCCATAACAAAACCAAATGTCTATTTTATGTCTGTTGTTTAACCATGAGAGCGACCTGGAAAATGCAACTTCAAAGGTACAGTTTTTATTTTGTATTTTTTTTTGTGGAGGGTGGGGGGGGGGAGTATGATATTCCTTTCACAATACCTAAAAAAATTCAAATGTCAAGGTGTACCCTGCCGTTTCTTGCTCACTCCACTGCTAGAGGGAGCTCTTGAGGATATTTAGATGTATTCTTCCATGCTGGTTAGACATCTTGGAAAAGGTAAAAGTTTCCACGCTTTACCCCACCGCACGTGACTTGCCGGTCGGCTAACTGTGGTCTACCCGTTAATACCGCTCGTCAGACTGAGGTGGGGGATTTAATAAACATGCCATATATTTTTTTTGTTAAGCTGCCGTGCTGGCAGATCTGACCGGTGACCTCAAGATTACATGTCCAGCGTGCTATCCATTACACCATGGCAGTATACCATGTCTATATTTTCCAAAAATCAGTGGTGCATTTAATGAGCACTATACAACAGACAACATTATCTTCTCTAGACGTTACAGGTCTGTGGTGGGGGTCGAACCTTTGAGTCTATACCTACTGGCTCGGGGCTGATTACACTGGCAAAAGCTGTCCAATATGCTGCCAATTATATAGCGTAGAACTTTTAACAGCCGAGCTCCAAAAATAATGACTCTGAATGTCCATATGTATGTTAAAGAGCTGCGTTTGTTTCAACAAGTACAGCTCTGGACTGGATTCTATATTTGGGGTCTCATCAGCAACATAGCCACGTTTGTGAGGCGTGTTGTGCAAATGGTGAAAATAAGTCAGGAATGACAATAGGCTGTTTGTAAAAAAAATGCATATGCTTTTAAGTATTTTTATTTGTAGATATAGAATGGAGGTTTCTATATATATTATGAAAGAATTATGTACAATAGTTTGTCATTTTAATACATGCACTCTGCATGGGACTGAATAAATTGTGAAAAATTGAGTTATGCAATGTCAGGATTTTTGTCCAAACACGAGTACACACACACACATAAAAATAGAGACAAAGTACCCCACTTACATGATCAGAATTGTGATTTATACTTGTTCTTATTTAATGCTTCCGAATTACATGTGTAAAAAAAAATCAGGAACGATACATATTTGTCCCAGTTTTAACTGTGGTTATTTTTACTTTTGATTAGGCCGGATGTATCCATCATGATTTTCTGAGTTTTTTTTTTATGAACTCGTCATGCAACTAAAATAAAAAAAATTGTGAGACCAACACTGCATCTGAAATTTGCAAAAATGTACGTTCGTCCACAGCAGATTATAATGATGAAAGATTGTTTCCAAAAGGAAGGGGTGCAGGATATGCTCTTCTTTTACTGTTAATTACACATGTATATTTATATCTTTAATGAGAATTAGGCATACTCATTTTCTGCTTTGGAGCAAAAGTTTGCCACAATCGTATTTATAATGTGCAATTTGCAACACATTAAATGCTACTGTCGAGCATTATCAGTAATCACATTAAATGCACATACTTCTACAACAACAACAAAAACCCCACGTCTTATATGACATTGGGATACACTTAACGCACCATTGTCCGCGGGAAAGTCGCGGATTAACTGTGCGCATTCACGCATTTTTACGTGCACGCTGATTCTATGAATAGCTGCTCCTACTCGTCGCAGGTCAGTGACTCAGTGCCCCACTTGACCGCAGACACCCGTCGGAGAGTAAACAACACAGACACATTGTGCAGTACAACTCTCAGACACATTATACAATCGTCATTCCTTCGTGCAGTACATTATATCACCTTAGCCGGAAGTCAGATCAACTATATCAACTTAGATCAATGACGACCATTAAGTAGGGGACGCGGGCTCGTTGCACGATCAGCATCATCAGCTGTGCGTGGCTCCTCTAACAGACTACACTCATTTGCACACACAACGTGATTGCCACAAATGAACCACAATACCCTGCTAATCTCGTCAAGGAGCATAGCACGTGACGCAAACTCCCGTCATCCTCGCAGCAGCGGCTTTTGTCAACTGGCCATCGAACAAAAACGATTTACTGCATCGCGCGCTTTCAAATAAGCTTCTGCATCCGTCTGGAACGCTCTTCCTTCCGATAACAGGTCCCTGCAGGGTGGGCTGGTAGGAACATTGGAATTTTGCGCAATTTCATGACATTGTTACTTCCAAATGTTGGGTGCAATAAGACATATCAAGTCTCTGCGCTGTCTATTGCTGATTTTACACCCAACAGCACGAGATTTCACTTCGTTAAAGTATTGAAAGGGGACGGACGGACACATTAATCTATTGCAGGCTGGTACACTCAGTTTACAACTTCGTTCCTACCAGTATTAGGAAGCCACTGGAGCTACGCACGTTTAAATCTAGTTTGAAAACTCATTCCTTTAGAGCTGTTTTTTTTGTGTGTTTAGTTTGTTGTCCCTTTCACCCCACCTGCGATGAGCGCGGTTGGCCGTGGTGCGACAGAAGTTCAACATCCATACATCAGCTCCTCTAAACAGACTTCAGAGCAGATGGGCAAAGATTGGGCGCCACGGTGGTGAGATGTTGACTAGCTCGCATGGTATACAGGAGGTCATGGGTTAAATCCTGACCCTGACACCTATATATTTGGAGTTTGCATGTTCTCCCCATGGTCGTGTGGATTTTTTTTATCAGGGTCTTTCGGTCCCCCCCCCCCCCACACATTTAGAAACATGCGTTTATAGTATTTGTCTGTTATACATTTCCACGTGATAAGCCACTTCATTGGGCTATCATCTATGGCCAAGTTGCTCCTGAAAAAGAACTATACAGACAGCTCAATGGGCCTTACCTGGTAAAAATGAA